GGGGAGCCGCGGGTGGCCGGAGCCCCGACGGTCGGGCCGGGCCGGGCCGTGTGGGCGCTCCGGGGCCGCTTTCTGCTTCCCAAAAGCAGGGATCCCTGGTGGGGCGAGCGCCTGGGCCCCGGGGGGCAGCGTGTCCCTTCCCCACGCGGGGAGTGGGGGGTGCTCCGTGTTAAGGGAGAGGGGGGGGCGAAGGCACTGGGGGGAGGCTGGGCAGGGCATGACAGGGGGCTGCCGTGATGTGGGGGTGGGCTTCTTGCACAGGGGACACGCTGCCCACGCGTGCTGGGTGCGCACACGTGCGTTGCACAAGTGCACGCTGCACACAGGGGTGCTCTGCACGCCTGCGGGCACACTGCACAGCACACACGCGTGTGCAGGTATACACTGCATGCGTGTGCAGTGACACCATGCACGTATGCAGTGACACCACACACGTATGCAGTGACACCACACACGTATGCAGCTCACACGAATACACTGAGCATGTTGCCTACACATATCACAAGCATAGAGGGGCTGCATGTACCACACACCTATCTCTGCTGTGCACACACACACACACACCCCCACAAATACATTACACAGGCACTTAACTGCACCCATCTATTTTACATACACACACCAGCAGCACACGTGTGCTACACACACACAATGCCACCATATCTCTGTATTACATACACACACGCTGCACACATATACTGCGTATACACATACACATATTGCATGTGTGGCATATAAACACACATGTGTGCTGCACACCCATGCACAGACACAGCACACACATACATAAATATTTAAAAATTATACTATCCACACACGCAAACATATTTACGATAGAACAACAAGGATCTGCCCTGCGTTTCCCTGTCACAGCCCGGCCACAAAAGGGCTTGGGGGGGGATGCTGTTGGGGCTGGGACCTTGTACTTCACCACAGCCCCCAAACTGGAGCCCGGCGTGGGGCTCTGCAGAGGACATCGTGTCCTGCTCACCTCTGCACCCATGGGAGACAGATCCCCAGGGTGATGGCTCCGTGCGGGAGCCCCCAGCCTGTTTGGGTGATGCTGGGGCCGACCCCTGCTCTTGCTCCAGTGACTCCCAGTGAGGACGGGCTGGGCACGGCGGTGGCGATCACAGCACGGCGGGGCAGGAAGGGGCTTTGGGCCCGAGGTATGTTAGCGATTAACGGCGCTTTCCAGCGATTCATCTTGCAGCGGAGGGTGGAAACGTTGGAGGGTTGTTTGCAGGCGCTTGTATTAATCATCCGGGCTAACACACCATTAACGTCCTCCTGCATTTTAAAGATGACAAATTTTATTTGACTTCTCTCAATCACGGTTCCCGGGCGGATTCGGGAGCCACTTAAATGCCTCGGATTTTCCATCGTTAGTTTGTTACAAGGCGGGTTGCAAAGGCAGGAGGCCGGGGGGGGGGGGGGCTGGGGGGGGGTGGGGGGGCTGTGGCAGGGTGCAAGAGGGGTCTCCAGTTCTGCCGGGCCCCGGCAGCCGGTGGGGGACGGCCGGACCGGATCTGCCCCGCTTCGCTCCCCCCCTGCTTTGTTCTTAGCTGCTGCGAAGCCCCCCCTCTTCCCCACCCCCTTTAAACAAGCGCCCTGCAAACATTTGCTAGTGATTACCCTCCGGTTAGAGCCGGGCCTTGGGTAGGGCGTTGTGTCCCCCATTTCCTCCAGAAGAACCCATGGTTGGGTGGGGGACTCTGAGCCCAGCTCAGAGCCATCGGGGGGGCCAGTGCCCACCTGGGAGAGGGGCAAGGGTCCCACTTCGTGCCTTGCCCCCCCCTCATCCTGACACAGCACCACCTGCAGCACCCTGCTCCCTCTTACAAACCAGCCAGGCTCCTCTTTGAGACTTTCCCCAGCCCTGTAAAATCCCTGATCCAGCAAACCTCCAGTCTGGGGCCTGTTCCACCCTACCCCATCCCTGGAAAACATTTTCACACACACCCCCCCCCCCCCCCCCCAAAAAAAATCCCTTCCATCCCTATAGCCCTGCATTGCACAGGCCACTCACAGCCACATCCAGCTCAGAGCTGTCACCCCGAGCTGTGCACCGAAGCCACCTCCAGCCTCCAGCTGCAGACCCAGGTAAGCCCAACCCAAGCCCGGGTGTTATCTCATTTTATTCCCCCCCCCACTAGAGCTCCCTGGACCCTGCAAAAGTTGGAAGTGCTCAGCTGAGCAAATAGTGGGACCGGCGGGTTGATTTTCCTTTGGAAAATCGTTCTAATCTTTCGTGTTTTAATAAAATAATAAAACCGGACCCCTTTTCACGCCGACACCTTCTAAATCAAACCAGACTGCCTTTGTCATGGCCTCGTGCCCTTGCCCGTCCGCTTCCTCTTCGTGGTCCTGGGCCCCGACAGCCCCAACATCAGTTACCACGAGATCGGCCGCGCCGTGGCCACCATGATGTCCGAGAGGGTACGGCTCCCCCCCCCCCCCCCCCGCCAACCCCCTCCGGCTCCCTTATCTAAATAGGAGCGTAAATCAGGGGCTTGGCAGATGCCCTGGCAGGACAGGGACTCCATAAAAAGGGGCTCTGCTCCAGCTCTGTTTACATTGCAGCCCCGTAAAATATTCCCCTTGTCTTCCCTGTTAGCGTCTCCCTGCAGCATCCCGGCACCTTCCTGCGCCCGCATCCCCCCTCCCCATCCCAGGCTCCGCTGCAGCCCCAGGGTGCAGCCCAGAAGGTCCCAGCCCCAACACCCCACAGGTCCCCCTTCATGTCCCCCCCCATCAGGTTGTGCCCCGAGGTACCTCTGCACCCAGCCGCTGCCTCCAATCCCCCCCTGCGACAGCGGCCGCGGGCTTTCCCCTTCATGTCCCCCCCCATCAGGTTGTGCCCCGAGGTACCTCCGCACCCAGCCGCTGCCTCCGATCCCCCCCTCCGACAGCGGCCGCGGGCTCGGAGCAGGGCTGAGCCAGCTCCCCCCGGGCAGCTGGGTTGTGTCTAAAGGTGCCCCTGGGTATTTATAGCACTCGCCTGAAATAATGCAATAATAATCACTCAGCACCTTCCTAACAGTTCTGCTCCCGGAGGCCTGAGGGGAACAGTTGCAAAAAGCCTTGGGAAACTGAGGCACGAGCAGAGTCTGCCTGAAGGAGAGGTGCCTGGGGCTGGCTGCTCCGGGGGGGGGGGATTATTTTCCTCCCGGTGATGTGAGGAGGGAGAGAATCTGCAGAAGTGAGAGAAATCGGGTCAGTTTGATTGGCAATGAACCCAGCCCTGGGGTCACAGCCAAGGCTGGGCTATAAGCACTTCAGCTGTGAAAGCCCACTCAGGGCATCCCTCTTCCCAGGAGGGTTTGCCCCATCTTGCTGTGCCCACAGGGGGCTTGCAGGGAGGGGTTGGGATGTGGAGGAGCTCACAAGTGCTGGTGCTCGTGCATTCCTGTGCCCACACATTGTCCGTGCCCCCCCAAACTACACCATTGGCCACTTGATCCTACACCAGCATCACACAGGTGACCCCACATGGGGTTCTTTCTGTCAACCCCCCCTCCCAAAGGAGTAGGAGGAATGGGGGGTGAGGTGGGTACCCAGGGTGGCCGTGCCGTGCCGAGCTCCAATGCTCCTGTTCCCAGCAGCAATCCCCGGCATCTTCTCTGTACACACACCTCCCGCGCCCCCCCGCCGGCGACAGAAAGGATGACTGCAACCATTGCCTCTCAAGAAATACAATCTATTTATGGCCAAGCAGCCACTGCCCCGTCTGGATAAATCAAAAGGAAAACAAAGCTTTATGGAAAAAAGATTATTAAATTTTCCATGTGCTCCTGGAGGGATGCGCCAGGCACTCGCTGTTTATTTTTTGTGCTCTCTCCTTGCTAGTGCCGTAAATGACATCGTGTTTACAAAAGTTTTTATGTCATCAGAGCAAAGTCACAGCTCAGCTTCCTCTCCTGTGTATTTTATGTAGATGGATGTGTCTGTGAGGAACATTCAAACTAAACAGAGCGCCGGTTTATAGGAAAATGTATTTATTTGAAAAATCGTAACTCACAATTTCGGCAAAACCGGGCTCCACATTTATTGCCGCTAATGGGGTGTGGCGGCCATAAATTAACCTGGAAAATTGCTGTGGCCGTATCAACAAGGGCTCATTGTGCTGACGGAGCAGAGCGGAGCAGCCGCTCCCCAAAGACGGCTCATGTCAATTTGCCGTTGGGTTTGGACCCATTGCTGTGGCCGTATCAACAAGGGCTCATTGTGCTGACGGAGCAGAGCGGAGCAGCCGCTCCCCAAAGACGGCTCATGTCAATTTGCCGTTGGGTTTGGACCCAAACAATAGGCAAAGGTACCGGCAGCCTCACCGCTGGAACCGACCCCAAAATCAGTGCTCTGAGCTGGCCTGGGTGCCCCGAGTCTCACTTAAAACAGTGCTGTTCCCCCATCTGACTGCCACGGACATCAGGTAGAAAGAGGGTCTACCTGCCATAAAGGGAATTTCTGTTTGTATTACATTGCCCCTCATGGACACGCAATTGGAGATGATGGAAAAATCGTGCCCGTGAGCTCCGACTGACAGCCCAGGTGACCCACGTGCAGGGAGAGCTCACTCCTTGCACCCCAGTTCACCTCTCTTAATCCAGAAGAAACTTTTGCACTGAAGCAGGAGTGATGCTTCTGCCCTAAATCCTCTTCTTTCCCCACTCAAATTCCCTGCTGAGACCAACACTCACCCCCAAAGCCCTAAGGCCAGGTGCTGACCCTGGGGTAGAACGTGCCACCATCATCCCCTCGTCCTGGATCCCCTGGCTGGGGGCAGGGTCGGGGTGCTGACCCGTGGTGGCACCTCTCTGCTCGTGGGGAGAAGCGGAGAAGAGCTCCCGGCTGATGTGGGTCCCTGACGAAAACCAGCACCTTCCCCTCCTCCG